GCGTGCCTGTAATCCCAGCTACTCAGGAGGCTGAGGCAGGAGAATTGCCTGAACCCAGGAGGCGGAGGTTGCGGTGAGCCGAGATCGCGCCATTGCACTCCAGCCTGGGTAACAAGAGTGAAACTCCGTCTCAAAAAAAAAAAAAAAAATTCCAGATTAAATACATACATGCAAAAGAAAAAACTGAAAAAAGAAAAACTCCATTAAAAAATTTAAGGAAGTATTTAAAAGACTGTATAATCTTAGAATGGGGAGACATTTTATGTAGGACAGGATACACTGTATATATGAGCTCTGCCCCAAAGGAGTTCATAACCCAGTACCACAAATAATATAAATATATGAGAGTTAGGGATAGAATATGCTATTTTGAGATAAGGGCAAAAACTGTGAGGGCCTAGAAGACAATTCAATTCATTTTATGGTGGGCACTGGGGAAGGGTTCACAGAAGCAGCATTATTTGAGCTGTTTTTAAAGGAGTGAATGAGCGTCTTGTAGGTATTTTATGAAAGGCCTATAATATCATTAAAGAACTTGGTATTTCATTGCCAGTGAGAAATTCAGTGAAATTAATGTGTAGAATGAATGATCGCAGAGGTTGAAAATGGACCAATTTGTGAAAGGGTTTGTATTCCAAGCTAAGTTTTAACATTATATATATATATATATTAAAACTATATACTATATATATATATAAAGTACTATATATATAGTATATATATATATATAAAGTACTATATATATAGTATATATATATATATATATATATATATACTATATATATAGTACTTTAGGTTCTGGGGTACATGTTGTGCAGATCATGCAGGATTGTTACATAGGTACATTCAGGGCAATGTGGTTTGCTGCCTCCATCCCCCCATCACCTATATCTGGCATTTCTCCTCATGTTATCCCTCTGCAACACCCCTTAATGTCTGTCTCCAGCTTAAGGCCACTGGTAGTAGTTGAAGCTATGGTGACTGTCAGATCAACCAAGGAGAAAGGGTACTTACTGCAGAGTGAGAAAATGTTGTTTGGTCAAGACTGGTAATTGTGGACTCCCATATCTATTCTCCCTCTTTTCCTTATTAGCGGAATTCCAATTTTAGTTAGGATAGTCCTGTACCTAAGCTAAAAGTCGACTTGCCTCACCCTTTCCTGCAACTAAACTTATCTATGTGACGAAGTTGTGGCCAATATAAGCAGAAGTGCTGTTTAGAACACCCAAGAAAGTTCGGTAAAAGAAGAAAGTACTCCTTTGCCCTTCTGTCTTTCCTCTTTCTTCCAAATTGCCACAGGACATGATATTTGGATTATAAGGCGAACCAGAGGATATAAGTCTTTTATTAACATGATGGCTTCCTGAAGACTGCACAGACATATTCCCGGAGGCTTTTCTGTGAGCGAGAAATGAATTTCAGTCTTGTTGAAGCCGGATGTGCCAAACCTAATCCCAAATGATAAAGATGAGTACCAATATAATTGCAATGAGAAACCCCTACATTTAAGAAGTGATCTGAGAAGAAATTACCAGTTAACACTGAAAAGGGTGAGACAGGAAGAAATGGCACAGAAACCAAGACAAAAGGACAGCTCCAAGAGGCAGGATAAGGGCAAAGTAAGTAGCAGATGTTTAAAAGAGATCAGGTAGAAAGAGGCTTGAATGCAGCACATTTAATTTAGAATTGCAAAATTGTATTGACTTAAGGTGATCAATTTCAAGAGCGTGGTAATTGCATGAAAACCAAGTTGAAATGGGCTTTTGAGTGAATGAGATTCAGGGAGCTAAATTAATATTTTATTTCAGGAAAAATGAAATAGAAGGCTAAAGATAAGGTGAAATGGAAAATAAATATTTCATATATTTTCTCACAACCAAACTGTATCTCCAGTTCTCATGATCCTGCTAATACTGGCTACCACTTCTTAAATTAAAAGAGGCTTATCTAATCCTTCGATAAACTCAAAATCTTCTAAATAATTAGAAGTGACTGGCCCTTCCCATTCACGATCACTTTCATTTCAGGACCCAGTTCTGTTCCTACATAGTGTGCTATTCTGGAAAACAAAATATTTTCTAGTCTCAACTCAAATTCTGTCGAGGCATATGTGTGAGTGTAAGTGTGGGGACAGAGATAGCATAAAGTTCTGACAGCTGAAAGAAACAAAGCTTCATATAATTCTGAAGAAGTTCTTTTCCAAGTATGTAACTATTTGAAGGTATAGCATTTAGTTTGTGTCAGAGATTTACAATCCCCATAAGGAAATGCAAGAACGCCAGGGTTCATATGTGATGCATATTTCCTTTTTGATCCCCAGGCTCTGGCCCCTTGCTGTAGCCTCCATTTTCCTCCTCCCTCCTTTCTCCCCTCCTTCTTTTCCTCTCTTCGTCCTTGAGAAATAATGCAGTTATGTCAGAATAGAAACTATGCAAGAAAGGGTGATATACTAGATTACTGAGGATATTTTAATACATGTTCAAGAGAAAATGGCAAATATTTCTTAATAGAAAAGGATACAAATTAAAAATCAGTGGTCAAGGCCACCAGGATTAAAGATGAAACTTGGATCAAATATTGACCAATGTAAACATGTTGAATTTCGATTATAGCAGAGATCATGCTTAGTGAGATGCTTTCAAACTAACGACTAACATTGAGTAATAATTAACATTATTCATTAATATAATAATAAACTTACATTGAGTAATAATTAACACAGAATATAGTTTATGGTTGTTAGAAAAATGAAGTAAAATCAATACTTGGGAGATTGTTTAGTAATGTGTGAATTGTGTCTGTTTTTTGAATATTCATAAATATTTTTAAAATTTTAGGTGTATTTTTCAAAGAAATTGGTTACACCCTGGGAAAAAAATAAGTGTGCATTACAATGTCTCGTGGAAGAATTTAAAGGACAGATTTTCATTTATATTTAGGAAGGAATGTTTCTCCTGCCTTCCTCAATTTGCTCCATAACAAAAGACATGAATACATATCATAATTACAAATTGTACATTGTAATTACAAGTCATAAATTCTACTACAAAGGTCAGGTATGGTTAGATTCAGTGAGTTTTACCTTAAAACATTGGTTTAAAACCATTCAAATCAAATGGATAAAATAACTTTTTTACTTTGCAATGGACTTATGACTTTGGGTGGTATGGGAAGAGAAGTTCTCAAACCAATGCTCTTCAAGGTTGCAGAGAGAAGCTTCTGTCTGACACCTTCCTGATGTACTGAATGTCCCTTGGTATATCCTTATAAACATTTTAAAACCCACACAGCTATTTAAAGATAAAGAAAAACTTATATAACTTTATTTTTCAAAGCACTAATATGTCTCAGGTGCATTTGCCTACAGTACAAAGAATAAGAAAATAGTACCTAGGAATTTTTTAGACTGTAGAGAATCTCAACTGCTTTACCTTTCTTATTTTCTCTCCACTTCTCTAGCAAAGGAGACAGAGTGCTCCCACTCCCACTCCTTCAGCCTATTGGGTCACAAGGGGCCTAATTTTCATGCGAATAGCCCTGAGGGAATAATCTGCCCCTCTTCCCAGACCACTCTGTTCTCAGTCTCATAAGGACTGTTATTCCTTCGGTCATGGAAGACCCCACAGTGGTAGTAGACGCCATTGAGATTGGCTGCTTGGCAGTTGATACCACCAGCCTCCCCCATAGACTTCTGCACAGTTCTCTTCCCACTGGTCTGCATCCCTGTCAAAGGTGCTGAACTGCATGTTGTTGTGAGAGGTGTACTCTGTCCCTTCCTCTACGGAACCCTCAATCAGTGCATCACCCGCAGTGCCTTCATAGGAGGAGACCTGCAGGGCTTTGGCCTCATAGCCTACCCGGAAGTGATATTCTGCATAAGCGTCTTTTCCAGCCCAGTCCTCTGATTCAACCCTAAGAACAGAGCCGCTCTGGGTTAGTAAGCGGAGACAGTCGTTGCCTAGCCAGAATTCTCCTTCCCTCTTGTCATTCAAGATGCCGAAACCTCTCTTGTAGTCTTGCCCGGTCCAGTTAAAATTCAGTGATCCATCCATTCTTTGCTGGATCAAAAGCTATCCTCCCAAACTGGTTTCTTGATTGCAATAAACAGAAAAAATCTTACTGGATCCTGGTAGCTTGCTATTGAAAATGTCACACTGGGCACCCAAAGGATATGTTTAGAGGACATCATCACAGTCTTAAAAAAATTAAGCTGGTTGGAAGAAGTTATTCTCATTTAACTTTACAAAGATAGGCACGGCTCAGATTAAAGAAGGTAAATACTGTTTCCTTCCCTTCCTTTGTTTCTTTCTTCTTTTATTCCCTCCACAGGGGAAGAATGCACTTACAGTGAGATGGAACTTATATAAATGAGGGGTTATTTATACCTACAAATTGCAAAGGGGATTTTCCTCAAATGGATTTGGAATTTTACTTGCACATACTAATAGCAAGTAACCAGTACAGGTAGCTAAGCATCAATTAACACTGACACAACTTGTTTTAGCCTGACCTAAATGTCAACTGAGACACATACTAAAAACGTAATTAATCAGTTGGGTGACAATTCTAGCAGCAGACACTTTGAATGATGAAAGAATTTGATTAAATAAGCTCAAATAGAGTTTCAGAGAATTTATTCATTCATTTAACATGTATTTATTGAGTCATGACTCTCTGTACTGTTAGGCATTTGGGAATACAGAGATGAGACAAAGTCCTTTCCCCCATGGAACTTATACAGTCTAGCACAAAAGCAGACCAAAAAAGTGTAGTTTCAATAAAGTGTAACAGAGAGTTAAGAAGGAAATGCAAGGTGCCATGGGAACACTGTGCAGAAATATTTAACATAGTCTAGGGGGACAGGGTAAGGCTTCCCCAAAGGAGAAGTGTGGATACCTCTGGTAAGGGGAGATTTAGCATGGTTTCTCTTAATGGTATGTGTTCCTTCATGATCAGCTTCACTTCAGACCTAATCTACCATTGCACGGCTCTTGGATTGAAATGTGGAGCCTCCTTTGCTGTATGCCGTGCTACTGACAAACTGTTTGCTGTGACTTGAAGTTTTACTGCTGGAAGGGAATTCACGTACCCCAGCGTGATGAGAACCGGTATCTGTAAAGATGCCAGATTCTGAGTCCATAGACTCACCATCATACTCTCTGAACCTAGATGAGAATAGACTTTCTAATGTTTTTCCAGTTGAGTCAGTGTCAAAGAAGGAAGCTTCATCAGGGTGCCTACGACGGAACTCATCCAGAGTACCCATGCCAGACAACGTGCCTAAATCCATTGCCTCGGGACAGTCAGAACCATCTTCAGAGGTCACCACTTCTTTGGTAACTTCTTTGTGACCATCAGGACCAATAACAGTCTTAGTAACAGTTTTAGAGCATAAATGACGCGTGGTGGTTGTGCTACCAGAGGTGACCTTCTTATTACCAATCATGAGCTCTTTTTCTCCCTTAGAAGTGACCAGTTTATCTGTGTGGTACTCTTTCTTTGTCCCTGGACTTACCTTTCCTGGCACCTCTTCAAATGTGCCCCAGTCTGGGTTGGTAGGCCTGGTGTTCCCATAGCCTGAACTATCTGGCCTAAAACTTCCAGATCCAGAGCTCCAATGTCCAGTACTACCAGTTGCAGAGCTCTCAGAGGTCCAAGTCCCAGTACCTACACTTCCAGAGCTGCCAGACCAGGTTCCAGTACTACCAGGTCTAGAGCTCTCAGGGTTTTCATTGCCAGTACTTCCAGATCCAGAGCTCCCAGGAGTCCAGGTTCCGGTACTACC